ACAGAAATGGGATCATATGAGTCTTGGAAAAAATCTGGCCTTACCAGCCTCTATTACATCTGCTCTGTCAGTCCAGGAAGTCTTGAACTTGCTAAGTTTCTCCGTTTTATTTTAATACCAGGCAAACCGATGGCAGTGACAATATCTAAGATCTTAGCCAAACTAATAACCCACACATACAAACAATAAAACAGCAATATCATACAGGATGTTGTAAAACTTTGTATACCGCAATATGTTTTTTGAGCTTAGATGCTGAAGTCTTGTAAGCTGCTATCACTGTAGAGATCAAACAAAGTTTGCATCTGGACTCTGTCTCCTTTTCACCATCTTTACATGAAAAATTCCTCCAGGTACGGCCACGGACACTCGTCCTCAGCCTTTACCTCGTCATTTTCTCTGTTGACAGTGTTGTCCTCTGTCTCCATTTTGACTTTTTCTCCAAATGTTGGGTCCATAAATGACTCTCTATGGAGTTGTCCTTTGCTTACGTCAAAGGTAATTGGCACGTTTGTGATCTGAGAGCCTTACTGGCTACAAAGATGCAGAACGGTTTGAATATTAATTCAAATTGTGGCCGTATTCAGTAGTGACTTCTGATATTAAAAGTAGCGAAGTAGATTACATGGTCAATTGTACTTAAGTATGAGTAAAATTACACACTTGAAAGAAATACTCATTAAAGTACAAGTACCCAAAAAAATCTACTTAATTAGAGTAACGTGAGTATTTGTAATTCGTTATTTCCACCCCTGCTGAAAACTAAGTCAGAGTTAAAAATACTTGAACTGTGAGAGGCAGAAAACTCTGATTGTCACACGTGTATTTTATGTTCCGATAATTATGTAGGAGTTTTTTTTCTTTCGGCTGCTCCCTTCTTCAGGGGTCGCCACAGCAAACTAAGTCGCATGAAGACTTGGCAATTAATTTTTACACCAGATGTCCTTCCTGACTCAACCACAGACCACCGAGCTACCACAGCCCTCTGTGTGAAGCAGAGAGCTGCTATCTAGGGTGCCCGGGGGAGCAGATGGTGGGGGTTAAGGGCCTTGCTCAAGGGCCCAGAGTGGGACGAATGAGGGTGGAGACAGGTGTGGGTGCTTCACCTATCCCACCCACATTGTGATGTTGTTGGTACTGGAAGTTGAGCCAGCCATCTTCCAATCACAGACCCACCTTTTCTAACCTCTGCGCCACCACTCCCCTTGTACAAAGTAGAAGGTACGGCACGTTAAAAAGATGTGTCACTTCCAGTTTTAATGAGAGTTTTTCTGCATATTTTAACGGTTGTTGTAGCTTCATGTAGCTAATGATGAAGTTAGAGTCACTCAGATCACAAAGATGGTTCAGCTAGGCTACATTAAATACATTTGTAGATTTTAATGAGCTTTCAACTCCTTTCATAAAACAACAATCCAGTGTTACCGTACCTGTGAAAATTGGCCGTACAGTTCAGGTTTTTTTAACGTTATTTACCCATTTTTGTTAGGGATGTACAATATTGGATTTTTGACCGATATCCAATATGCCGATATGTTAAAGCTTATTTGCTGATAACCGATGCCGATATTTTATATACGTTCCTTTGTCAGAACATATTCCTCTTATTTAGGCTGATTTGCTACAAAATAAAACAGCTGTAAGAGCTGGTGACATATATCCAGTAACAGCCATATGATATGCATAACACTTTAACTTATATTAAATGAAAAGTGTTAAATGTTATTTATTAGCATTAGTCGCCTGCGATGCTGTCTCACTTGTGGAGGCTTGTTCCAGGTTCCTATAGCTGCAGTGTGGGATCCTCTGCACTCCTGTGCATGAAGGACAGCCTTTTAAGTTCAAAGTTTTTGTCTATCCATTGTGTCGTAAGACTAATCACGCTGACGGGGCTAACACGACGTCCAAATGTCTGTGGTAAAACTCACCCAACAGGTCGTGCTATCAGCTATTAGCTTCTCAATGACGTCGTAAATGACGGCTGGTAACTCTGGTAACGTTACAGTGGAAAAATATCTCAGACTGCGGACGATGTATTGAGGCTCAACATAGTCCATAAATCTTTGGAATCCAACATCCTCAACAAAAAAAAACTTCCACACCGCCGACGTTTTGAATTTTCCTCTCCTCTGTGAGCACGTTGTGCTGCCGCTGCAGGCTAAAACAGCGCCTTTTATATCTGAGAGTTACTTGAATGGAATGGCCGATGTCCGATATTGAACTTTAATGCTAATATCAGCCGATACCAAGACCATGCCGATAATATCGTGCATCCCTAATTTTTGCAGTGTTTGATGCTCATCCAACCAAATTTAAATGCCTCTTGTTGATGCTTCACTAAAACGCCAAACTTGGTGAAAATCAGAGCAGTAGCTTTGTTGGCAGTCATGAGATAGATGGCTCTGTCACATCCGCCCTCTTTGTTTTAAATCATTTTTAGGAAATTAATAACTTTTAACAGTCAGAGGTTGATGTATCTTGGTGGTCAGTGCTGTAGTCTCATAATCCCAAGGCTTCAGGTTCAAGCCCAGGTTACGCCTGGAAGGGTATGTGGTGTAAAACAACTGCAAAATCATGTATGCAGATTTGTGTGACGACCAGAGGAGCAGCCGAAAGAAGAAGAACAACAACTTCCAGTTTTAATGAGTATATTTTGAGCAAAAATATACCTGAAGCTTATGAAAGCTTGGGTGGGAACAATTGTGTCTAAGTTATACACAACATACTACTTTACTAAAAGTTATAGATTATTCATTCATTCAATTCATTCAACCTTTATTTAGACAGGTTAATCCCATTGAGCCTCAGGGACTCAATTACAAGAGAGACCTGATTTTAACAAAGAATGATGACAACAGTGGAAAATCATAAAGGATGCGTACAAATTAAGATTTTATTTAATAAGTGAAAATAAAATGGCATTTAAAAGAAAATTTAACAAAAACCCAGCAACCCCCCTTAGATGGCATTAATCTGTCCTCCAGCTCTAATGTTAAAAATCTTGGTGTTATTTTTGATCAGGACATGTCTTTTATCCCCCACATTAAAAACGTTATTAGAACCTCCTTCTTCCACCTGCGTAATATCACAAAGATTAGAAACATCTTATCTAAAAACGATGCAGAAAAACTGGTCCATGCATTTGTCACGTCTAGACTGGACTATTGCAATGGTTTATTATCTGGGTGTCCAAATACTTCTTTAAAATGTCTTCAGTTGATCCAAAAAGCTGCTGCCAGAGTCTTAACTGGAGTTAATAGGAGAGATCATATCTCTCCAGTTTTAGCTTCTCTCCATTGGCTCCCTGTCAAATCCAGAATTGAATTCAAAATCCTACTTCTAACCTACAAAGCTCTCAACAACCTAGCTCCATCTTATATTACAGATCTTATTGTGCCATATTTTCCTAACAGAGCACTTCGCCCTCAGGCTGCAGGTTTACTCGCGGTACCTAGAGTTTCCAAAAACAGAATGGGAGGCAGAGCTTTCAGTTATCAGGCTCCTCTCTTGTGGAACCAACTTCCAGTTTCTGTCCGTGACGCTGACAAATTGTCCAGTTTTAAGACTGGGCTTAATACTTTCCTTTTTGATCAATCCTACAGTTAGGATTGGGTTATTATGTTGCTATATGCTTAGACTATCCATCCATTATCTTCACCCGCTTCTTCCATTTTTAGGTCACGGGGGTCGCCGGTGCCCATGACCGGCAATCACTGTGCGAGGGGCCAAATTGACCTCATTTCTTAAAAAGAATAGTTAAAATTGAATAGTTTTCATTTTATACTATTTCTATCTTAACATGTGATTCTTGACCTGCCATTGTGTATCTGTTCCTCCCAAACCGAGCGGGTAGAAGCAGATGGTCACTTGTCCTGAGTCTGGTTCTGCTAAAGGTTTCTTCCTCATGAGGGAGTTTTTCCTTTCCACTGTCGTCTTCATTCTTGCTCAAGATGAGAGTTCTGTGATGGAGTTAAATTCAAAGCAGTCTGCTCCTCAGATAAATACTGTTCAATTATTATTTTTTATATATGAATGTTTCTGTTCAGTGCCCTGAGATGAGTTCTGTTGTGACTTGGTGCTGTATAAATAAACTGAATAATACTGAATATGCCAGTGGATGTAAGTCCTGTGTCAGCAGGGGGAGCAGCTGGTACCAGGGTTGTAGCTCTCTGCTCCTTGACCAAAGGAATTAGTCGCTTTAAGTAGAAACAGAGCTCTCTGTGCCTTGTTAAGTTAGAGGCAGATAAACTGTGGTCAGGATGTTGCCTTGAAGTGTCAGAGCAGGCAGTTTCAGAAAAACTCATTTTCCACACAGACAGACAGACAGACAAGGTGATTTTATTGTTTGTTTTAATTGTGCATTCATACCAACTGGTCAGTATAAAATTAAAAGTCACAACAAAATGATTAAATCTATCTGTCATCGTGTTTCTCAATATTAACAGGCTATCTATAATAAAATGTGTTATACGTGTATCTATAATATAGTAACTAATTGAAAACCTTAGCTCAAACACAAATTAAAGAGGCAAAGTGTATATTTAATAAGTGACAGTCTAATAATAGATCACTAAATGTATTGATACTGTAGATTTCTCTAATTTGCCACGCTGCCTCTAATTATAAAAGCCCACGTGCTCCTGTAATAAACACCAAAAAAAAAAAAAAAAAAAAAAAGTAGGCTTGGCTATTTTCCCAGAACTCAACTAATCTACACATCATCTCCTTCTCTTTTCCAGACAGTATCGATCAGCCTCGGGTTTCACGTCAGTATTGATAACTTTACAATATTCAGACAGAGGGAAACATTTGGCTCTTTTAATTTAATTTACAAACAAGAGGGCGATTGGCCAGAAACATCCTCCACTTTTGTCTTAATTCCACTAAAAGATGATGCCAAACACTCCGAAGGGCTCAGGTGTTAAGTCTGTTTGTGACTTTTCTTAAAAAAGAAACCAGAAAGTGGGACCGGCTGTTGAACGAGGGGGAATCCAGCCCACATATTTATTGCAGCCGCTGAAAAAAACCTCCTCAATATCCCCCAAGATGGCCGCCGATGTAGGATCGATGTTTCAATATTGGAAGAAATTTGATCTACGGCGGCTCCAGGTTAGTGCTATCCTCACCTTTTCTCCGCGGATTTCCGCAGCGGTCCGTCTCCTCCGTGCTCCCCGGCGACAGCGGACTCGACTCGGGGGGTAAGCGCGAGCGGGAAGCGGGCTCCGTGGGCATTGATAGTTATTAGGAATTGATCCGTGTTCCGCCTTTGTTCGGTTCAATCATCGATCAGTGGCGGGGAGCAGCACCGCCTCGCGCTCAGCGTTAGCCACACGGATCCGGGGCTCAGCACCGCGGACAGCACCGAGCTACCAGCCGCTAGCTGCCGGCTGCTCCACGCGCTCCTCCCGGACAGCTCCGCGGCTCTCAGCGGAGGGGAAACTTTGCACGCGCTGCTTTTGGACGCAGGCTGTAACTTTTTACACCGACTGTCTCCGCGCGCGCAGCCCGGCTCGTGTCGACGGGGCTGCCGCATCTCTCAGCGCGGCTAGCGGGCACTTTTCTGTCGGCTAACACCGGATGTGGGAAGTTTCTCTTCGTGGTTAGGAAAGTTGTAAACGAGTCGCTTTTTGTTTTTAATGCTGGACTGGAGCAAAACGTTAAACGGAGATTGTGGCAGGTGAGCAGTTTGTGTTGTGTCCGTAAATCTAGCGGTCCTCTCCTCCTGCTGGAGCCGCGTTTCAAGGCTCTCTGCCCGGCCGGTGTGGAGGCTGGAGCGGGGCAGCGGCGTCTGTTGTAGCGGGAGGACCCTCACCATCTGGCCGGTCCGAGGCGACCGAGGAGCGGGGATGAAGGAGACCGAGGCTCCGGAGCTGCTGGGAGCTGCTGGGAGCTGCTGGGAGCTGCTGGGCCGAGCGAGGGGAGCTGTTGTTGTTGTTGTTGTGGCTTCATGGAGCGCCCCTCTCTGCTGTCATGTTTATATTGTAGCATCAACCAAAAAAGTTTATATTTATTAACAGTAAACCTCAGTAAGAGGGTTGAAGCTGGCAGGAAGACACAGGATGTTCTGGAATAAAAGGCACCACTTTACATCAAGTACCTTTATAAATGACTTATTAATGGCTATGAGTTTATAAACAACTCATTTTATTTTATATATTTTTAACATTCAGTTGAAGCAGACTCACTATTTATTTGGCTAGATCTGATGTCCTTTTATTCATTCAACTATATATATATATATATATATATATATATATATATATATATATATGTGTGTGTGTGTGTGTGTACTGTATGTTTTTCATCTTTACCTGCTTCATTCAGGGTGGAGCAGGTCAGGTGAAGCAGAGTTCACCCTGGACAGGTCATGAAGACAAACCACGCACACACAGTGACAGTTTAGAGCAAACATCAGCCTAACATGCATGTTCTTGTTGTGTGCGAGGAAACCGGAGCACCTGGAGAACATGCAGACTCCACAAAAAGAAGGCTGCAGCTGGTTTTGAACTTCTGACCGACCGTCTCATATATAAGAACCACTTCTCCACCGTGCACAGTTTCTCTTTTAACTAAACTTTTTTTTGCCCAAACTAGCTTTGTAACTACAAAACACTCAGCTTTCACATTTATGAATAGGTAGAAGGTGGACGTATTTCAGATTAGCTCAAGTAATCTTTCACGTTGTGCGTAAGAGTTTGCAAACAAGTGATATGACTAAAGCAACAAAGAGACTGCAGACAAAGTCTACATTTTTGTTTGCCTAGCCTTTAAACCACCTCGTATTGCAGATAAAAGCAGTCTGGACAAGTTTTGGTTTACTCCAGTGTCGGCAGCACGCGGTGAAACAGGTCGTCTGTGAAAAGTTTCCTCCAGGCTTCTGTTTGAACGCGACACCTTCTGCCACATGTGTCAAAAATCATTGAAACGACTCGTTTGTCATTCAGTGATGGTTTGAGCCGGTCGTCGCCGCAGCTGCTTCGCCTTCCAGCCGTGCGAGCTGTTTCTTTCACTCTGGAGCCTTTACGTTCTCATTACAAGTTATTATATCAGCAGCCTGAGTGTGCAGTTTTTTAGTGTTTGTGCAGGAGATTTGTGCCCCCCCCCCCCCAACCTGCACAGGATGAATAATTCACCTGCAGGCTGATGAAAGGAGGGCAGGGAAAGTGTGAAGCACTGAGGTGGAGTGACCTTGGTTCCTGCAGGCTGCGGGTCGCCCGGCCGTTGCTGTGGTAATCATTCACACCAGCCAGATGGCATTTCTGTGGGTGAGCGTGAAAAGGACGGGTCAGGGTCTGTCCTGCCAGGCCTGGAGACAACTCGCGCGCCAACGATGCACCTGAGGAGAGGATGTTAGAGGTGCATGAAGAGTTTGGGCAGCCAGGCTATTAAAAGACAGGGTCAAATCAAGAAGAAATGTGGTTTGGTCACTTCGATTTTAGAGTTTTACCTTGTCAAACATAAAATTGCATCCTTAAATCATGGACTCAACGCCTTTTACCACAATTTACGTTGATCCAGCCTTTTTTTTTTCGCAATGTCAAAATCAAATGGCGAAATAACGCCCCCCCCCCCCCCCTTGTTTGTTGCCATCTTCTCTGCCCAGTTTGCAGCCTCTCTTTCATGGATGTCTGAGGCGTGTGAGGTTTTAGATCAGGAACAAAAGCTGGTGATTGTACTACATTTAGCATGACTCAGTTGCTCCGGTGTCAGCTCTAATCCACACACACAGACAACAGTATTGCCAAACAGTGAAATTGCTTTTCAGCCTGTGAGCCTGGCTGCCTCTGCTGCCAGCTCTGTGTGCCGTTTGCCAGTAGCTCCTCCGCACACACACACACGGACACACACCGAGCCTGCAATCTTAAATTGGCTGTGAAAATCGCTCTCTGTCTCCCTTTCATTCATGCCTTTATATATTTGTTTGCTGATATTGTTAATGTCACATGCATCAGTGTAATCTCATTTTGCCGGAGAGGAAGGGCCTTCAGAGCGCCTCAGATCTTGTTTTATTTATTATAATGACTGGATCGTTTCATTTATAAAGCTGGGAAAAGATTATGCAAGGATTCAAAGCCGACCTCCACTGTGACGGGGGAGGGGAGTGCTATACGAGCTCATTATGTCTTTTTTAAAAAAAAACTTGTCTTGTGTGGCTCTTTCAGATCTCCGGTAGATCAGGTGTTCGAAGCGCCGCCACTCACGCCGACCCTCTGTCTAAACATCTTGGGGAATCAAGGTGTAGGGCCGTGTCTGTCATCGCTTCCACATCTTCTCTTCTTTTGACTGTGACAACAAAGCGAACAAGGGAAGAGGAAAGCCTTTACAGGACTATCTGGGGCAAATGGAGATGTGAAATCCAGGCGCTGTAAGACGAGTGCACGAAGCAGGGAACATTAGAGAGCGAGAGGAGTGGAACAGACTTTAGCATTAAGCTGTTTAACCTCTCGCTGTAGCATTAGTGCTAGAGACTTCAAAGCAGCTGCTTTGGCGTTGGAAGCAGAATGACAAATGGGTTTAGAGACAGCCTCGGTGAGCGTTCTCACAGGAAGACTGGGCCTGTCATTAATGTCAGCTTAATCAGTTTGACCTTCCTTCAACTAGATTTCCATACCTAGCCAATCATTTAGCTGTACTTGTTCCTGTTTGTGAGCTGTTAAAAACTGCTTCATGCAAAGCACCGTACTCAAAAATGTATCATACCTTGGGCGGCACGGTGGCGCAGTTCGTAGAGCCGCTGCCTCTCAGCGAGCAGGTTGCCGGTTCAAATCCTGGCCGGGGGACCTTTCTGGGTGGAGTTTGCATGTTCTCTCTGTGCATGCGTGGTTTTCCTCCCTCATGCCAAAAACATGCATGTTAGGCTGATTGGTAACTCTAAATTGTCTCTAGGTGTGTGAGAGAGAGAGTGAATGGTTGTTTGTGTCTGTGTGTCCCTGTGATGGACTGGAGACCTGTCCATGGTGTCCCTCGCCTCTCACACAGTGACTGCTGGATATGGACACCAGTGACCCCTGTGACCTGAAAGGAAGAAGCGGATAAAGATCTTTTCATTTTATCTTATACATCCACCATCGTGGTACAGTTCTAAGTAGCAGTGATTGAAGGAACTCGCATCGCGTGCTGCACAAACTGAGGCTCGTTTGCTGTGAAGTGATGGAGTCGTAGGCACTTTGGTCAAACCCTAAAAAGTAATGTGCACAATCTCATGCAATATTGCAACACAGTAGTCCCTCGTTCATCACGGGGGTTTCGTACCCTGCCCCCCTCGATAAATGAAAAACCGAGAAGTAGGGATACAGTAGTTCAAGTTCTGTAAACTTTATAAACTTTATTGTCATTACCGTCTCATGTGGTACAAGAGATTAAATGAAATTATGTACACAAGTAATAGTAGTAAATAGTGGTTAATTTTAGTATTTAATGTAGTAGTAGTTAGTAGTAGTTTATTTTAGTATTTATATACAGGTATATAATGGTGTTTTAAACACTGCCCACATTCTTGCAATGTTCCTAACAATTTTCTAAACTCTTAAACCTTTAAAAAATATTAATCTGAAATGGGTACTCACCAGAGAAGGTGAAGATGAAGAATTAGCTGTTCATTGATGACGATGAAGGTGATGAAGATGAGATGAAACCAGGCGCTTTGGCTTTGTCCTTCATAATAATTCAAGATGGCATCCTTTTCCAGAACAGGCCCGTTTCGTCCACGTTAAAGTCTTCTTCAGACGTGTAGACCCCTCGGTGATCAGATCTTTGAACGTCGTGTTAACAAACTCCTCCACTCCTTCTGTCAGCGGACGCAGCCTCTCCGTGCAGAGAAACACTTTTAATCCAAATCGTTTTGAAATTTGTCAAACCACCCCTTGCTGGCACTAAATGCAGTGGTTTGGTGGTTGAAGCAGGTGGTCGAAGGTCCAACTTCGGGTTCGTCCACCCCCCTCATTTGCCTCATCATGTCTACTGCAGCTCCAAGACGATCATAAAGGTGTTTCACCTTTGTCCAGATGGTGTAAATGGACTGTACTTATAGCACCTTTCTATCTTATTTCAAGACACTCAAAGCGCTTTACTCTTCAATCTGTGTCCTCATTTACCCATTCATACAGCTC